ACCCCCGCCGGGGAGGGGGCAGCCACAACGTCTCTGGGCAATTTATTCCAAAGTCTTGCCGCCCTCAGACTGAAGAATTTCTTCCTAAGGTCCCATCCAAATCTATTCTCCTTCAACTTAAACCCATTTCCCCTTGTCCCATCAGTGGACACTCTTGTAAAAAGTCCCTCCCCAGCCTTTGTGTAGGTTCCCTTCAGGTATTGGAAGGCAGCTGTTAGGTCCCCCCAAAGTCTTCTCTTTTCCAGACTGAACAATCCCAGCTCCCGCAGCCTGTCCTCGTAGCAGAGCTGCTCCAGCCCCTGGATCATCCTTGTGGCCTCCTCTGAACACGCTCCAACAGATGTTTTACACTCGCAGGCTGGCTGAGCAGGCAGGGAGCGGGACACGTGACACTGTCCTGAGTTTTCTTTCGCCCTCTCTGTGCTCAGCGTTAAGGCAGAACTTCCCAAGGTGAGCAGCAGCAGCTTACCTCGTCAGGTCCAGCTCTTTCTCCTTACGCACGCATTAAAGAAATAGATAAAAGCAGTAAATGAAAGATGGTTTAGTATTTTAAATCATCTTCGCTCATCTTACTCCCGAGTGTTTTTCCATGCAAGGAACGCAGGGGAGCTGGGAGAACATAACTGCAGATACCGTTCGACTCACACTTATTCACGCAACTAATCACACACACACACTAAAAAAGAGTAAAAATCCTTTCCACCCCAGGTCAGAAACCATAAATAAGCGAATCACACAAAGGCTCAGAAAAAAATAAATGCCACGAGATTTAAAATATGATTCTGAAACTAGTTTCATACACTTTATGGATTTAGTTCTCGATAACTTAGATGAAGAACACATGTACAAGATATGCAGGAGGATAAGCTGTGGCACGAGGGCTGCCAGAGCACCGCAACACAACAATCTCTGTAATAATAAAACTAAACCAATTAATTGACATTAAAATGAAGGCTGGTCCTCCAACCACCTCTGATGCCGTCCCCATTTATGTTATCGAGCTGAGCCTTGCTCACGCAACGGCTGAAATCCTGAGACCAGAGAGCTGGTAACGCATTTCCTTCGTCCCTGACACCCAACACCTCTGAGGTTCCACTGCAACAGCAGAACCAGTTCCCTTCCTGAGGCGCCTGTCACAGCTGGAGTTCAGCTGCTACAACCACCAACTGCAGCTGGTGCCACCACACCAGGGCTCCCTCCGACCCGCTGCAGGGGCCAGAACTTCCATCCAAGGGGCTGGGAGACCCCCTGAAGCAAGAGCTTGGCTTCTCACACCTACACCCAGAGACCACGAACCTCAGGAAAAGTCCCTAAGTCTAAGCTGCCTATGCAACAAAAGCAGGAAGCAACGTGAGGCCGATGACGGCTTTTTTTATTGTCTGACATAAACTGTGCAGCTAATCCTAGATTTCAGATAAAAAGAACTGGCATCACACTGTACCATATCCGCATGAGGAGAAGCTTTTACGTAGAGGACTGCAAAAATTCAGTTCCACACCTGCAGTAAGACTCACACGGAGAACTGTGCCGTGGTGGCGGCACGTTTGTTCCTGAGGAACACCGGAGTTCCTGCGGATCGTACCCTTCCTGCTATGCGGCTTATCAGGTTGGTTTTAAGCAGTCAAAAGAAAAAAGAAATCAAAATCAAACGCCTTAGTTTTCTATAGCTAAGCTTTGGTGTGAAACTCCTGCGCTAGGAGCAAAGACTTTTAGTCACAGGATGTTCCAAGAGCGTATTGCAGCAAAGAAATGACCGGGACACGCCGAAATCACGAGGAAAGCCGACGGATGCGGAAGGCAGGGTCCTGCAGTGCTCCAGGGCACACGCTGCAAGCGGCAGAGAACCGGGTCTTTATGAACAGCTCGTTGTGCCCGTCCAGTAAGTCCCAGAACGATAAGCTGTGGGGCCGCCTTCGACCAGAAACTTTTCTCGTGGTTACGAACACCGACCTAGGCTTCCCCCCAGCCATTCATGATCTTGGAAAAGTTTTCCATGTGGGCAAACAAAACAATACAGACACTTTCTTTCACAGGCTTTAAGAAAGATTCTAGAAGTTAATGATTACACCTTTTTCTTGGTAGTAAATTTAAGAACATGCAAGAGAAAACTCAACTTCAAAGAAGCGCTGAGCGCATTTGCAGAATTGAGTTCCTAAGCAATATCTCCAAAACCATTTTCAGAGGTGTATTTTTGTCTGTCCCTAACGGGTTTCCTTACGTATTTCTATCAAGACTTTTGAGTAAAATATGAGAAATGTAAATACCTGGTCTATTCCTCTGTGCTAAAATCTTGCTGAATGCTTTAAGCAGTTGTCACTCAACAACTGTCGTGGTACTGCAGCCTCGAACGGCCTCACTTTGTATTCCTTTTGGTGTCACTAAAACTGAACAGCATAATGCTGCCCTGACATCCCTGCACTAACGTATTTACAATTTGTTATTGATTTTTTTGGTAACTAATTCCTTTAATTATTTTCTTTTAAAAAAAACACATTTGGAATAATTGATCTAGCCGGAGGAAGAAGCAACCGCTGCTCATCTGAAGAGTTCAGAAAGTACAGGAAGGGTCCCGTGAGGCATTACACAGCTGTCTCGCTACACTCTTGTCTTCTACTTGACTTAACAGAAACTACTCTTGACTTCACAGTCAGTGGTAAGAACTCCAGAAGGAGCAGAAGGCAGAGCTATCTCTGAACATGAACCCCACAGTGGCTGTTACACAACCGTCGGCTCTTCCAAAGAGAGGGCCATTGTTTTTAACCACGCACATGACGCTTCCACAAAGGCCATCTAAACCCGTTGGAGATTTTACACCCAGAACGCGTTTCTGCCTCTCTCCTTTCACAGCCTCACCCCTTAAAAGGTGTCCTTCTCTGCACGGGTGCACACGCTTTTTTCGCTCCATTACACGCACTTCTAAACCCGGCGACACCGTCCATCTGTAAAGCTACAGCTCTAGTGAATGTCACACAAGCGTCTCCTCACTACAGAGGCGTGATTTCCAGCGTTCAGAAACATGAAAGGAACCCATAGCAGAGACACTGCCTGACCTCAACACTTGAGTTTTTCTTCTCTGGGTATTTATTTAAAGATCTTCTGGTTCATCTTCTCAGCATGAAGCTCCTCCACATTACACCAAAGACATATTTATATATTTTCTTCTGTCGTGTACTAGAATAAATATGGGCAATTTTTTCTATTTAAAGTCTTCCCTGGCTGTAATAACATCATTACGTGCAACAGCCATCTCTAGTTTAATTATTGACATTTAACAAATAAGACATTCTTAGCTCAGTTCTCTCCCTCTCAGGATACAACAGGATTAAACACTCAGGCATTTATCTACGCATTGCTGCCTTAAAACAAAACACCTTAGTGTCAAGTACAGGAGAACTCTATTTCACCACCATGTGTCTCTAACTGTGTACGGGGATGCCAGATCAATTAATCCTGTTGGAACAGAACTAAGATTAAGAGAAATGTAACCATTTCTTTGGTAATTTTGAGATAAAGCCAGCAGGTGCAGCAGAGAGTTCAGCTGCCGAACTGTAGCAAAGAAGCCAAGTTCATCAGCTCTGCAGACCAGCAGCAACTCGGCGCAGAGACAAGTGCGGCGTGCTGGCAGCGAGCTGCTGGAACTAACGCTGTGCCACAGACACCGGTGCACCGAGGCCCTCCTGGGTCACCACGGTTTACGAGCTCACACCCAGGCTGCTCGTCGTTCCAGCTGCCTCCGCCACGCTCCAGCTCCCCGCAGCACGGGGATACGGGACATTCCCTCCGGAGGGGCGCGCTGACCCGCAGGCTCACTGCTTACAAGTGGCACAAGCGGCCCTTTGTGAGCTTTGCTTCAAACTGGAAGTTAAGCCTCTGAAAAAAAAATTCAGTCAATAAACCACCTGACCATGAGGAAGGCAGTGGGGAGGAAACAGAAATGAATTGTATTTACGATCTGGGGTTTTTTGGGGGGTGGTAAAGCTCTACCGGTGAATGCACACGCAACGTTCGCAGTCTCACAGTGTACTCGCACCAGGACATTTTGCGTTTTGCACGGCCGCCCTTGCCAGCAGG